GTTTTTATTTTTTTCCTCTTTTGTGCAGTTTTACATAATACACCAACATTTTTACCTGTTCCCAAGCAAGTGGTGGCTGAAGCATATGCAGTAAGTTGTGTACTTTTTCTAACTTGCATAAAGGGAAGAGAGTGCAACACTTTGGAATACCCATTTATTTCCATTGCACAGGACAGTGAAGAAACCCTCTCAGATGACTGTCCTTTGGAGGAAGAACCTGTAAGTGCATAAAATAACTTTACACTAATTTGTATATACTTGTGTACCTATTCTTTCTGTCTGCAATATGAGTTGCAGGAGTCCACATCTAGAGAAAGGCCTACAGAAAGGCTTGCAGAAGAGTCTGCACAAAGAACTGATACAGAGGTGGACAGTGTTGTAGTTTTACTTTTTACTTTTGTTGCATGAGGCATGTTTTGACCCTTTTTTTTTTTTTTTTTTTTCTTTTTTTTTTCTTTCACAAAATGACACCAGGTGACATCCGTTCCCTATATAAACAGCATCTTCAACAAAAAATCGAGTATTTTGACCTGAAAAAACAAATTAAGAGGAGAAATTGAACACGACAACTTCAAAAAGAGAAAGAGTTGCTTCAAAAAGACTTTCAGAGTAAGTGCTAATACACCATTTGACACATAGTAGTATTGCTGACTTTACATAACTATCTGTTATTGCAGGCAAAAGATGACTTGCTGGCTTTTCTTTATAAAAAATTGTTTAAATAAAACTCCAGGAACTAAGCATATTTGTCTTGTCTTTTATTTTACACATTCAAAAATGGTGCTCCACAATTCTGTCCCGTGCAGCTCTGCCACTAGGTTGGTCCAAGTGCACTGGCTGGAGGTCATCATCAGGCTGCACCTCCACCACAGGGGTCCTCTCCTTTCTGATGGTGGCAATATTGTGGAGGATGGCACATGCAACAATTATGTCACAGGCCCTGTCAGGTGCAACCCTCAGACCCTTCAGACACTGAAATCTTTCCTTTAGTTGCCCAAAGGTCATTTCAATGCGTGCCCTTGTCCTGGCTAGAGCTGCATTGTAACGGGTTTGTGGTCCAGGGTTTGGGTCAGAGAAGGGCTTCATAAAATGCTGCCTGCAGGCATAGCCCCTGTCTCCAAGCAGGATCCCGTCAAAATCCCCTGTATAATGGAAAAATGCAGTTTTGTTAGGCTCAGCATAAGTGTGTGTAATACTGTGAGCTTGACATTTATATGTTCCCTTACCACGTTGAAATAATGTGCATAAATGTGACTCTCTGAAAATTCTTGAGTCATGCACTGATCCTGGCCATTTTGCTTCCACATTTGTTATATGGAACATAGCGTCACACACCATCTAAGATTTTAGTCAGTCAACTGCATACTTTTTGATCCATTTCTTTTTTTTTTAATGTAATATATTACTAATCTGGAATATTATAAATTTGTAATAGTAACATACCTGCACGTTTATACTGTGAACCCCCTTTCTGTTCACAAAATCCCCTTCATTGGGGCCTGGTGGGGCCTTGATGGGGATGTGTGTGCAATCTATGGCACCAATCACGTTAGGGAAGCCTGAAGGACACATACTGTTAGTCATACAAAAAATCTGCTTTACCACCTGGGGTCTTAAGTGGCTTGGAAATACCACAAAAACCCTTAAAAACTGCTTGAGTGCCAGGTAAACTTTGCGAATGGCACGACAGACAGCACTTTTCACTAAGTTCTCTGCATCTCCAATAGTGTAAAGGAAAGTGCCACTCGCAAAGAATCTCAGGGCAATGCATACAGTCTGTGCAGTTGTCAAAGCCCGACTCCTCCGTGTTGAGCACTTAATGTGGGGTTCCAACAAATTAATGATGTAAATAACACCCTCTCGAGAAAAACGATATCTCTCAACAATTACACTTTCGCGCTGCGCCAAAGGATCCTGTCTATCCCGCAATACGCGATTAATTCGAAAAGCTCTGCGAATTGTTCTTGCAACTTCCGCTAATTGCTGTCGTAAAAATGGACAAGACATGGCTGCGACAGACTTCTCTATCTCCTCCGGTTATAAAGCCGCGATCTAATCCTGTTTACATGAAATAAGCCTGCTCCCGAGCAGGTTTAAGTTTGCGCACCTGTTGCTATGACAGCAAGTCCAGGATGAGCTTCGAAGAACCAAACAATCCAAGATCATGCCAAATCGTCAACAATCAAATCCAGCTAACTGAGTTAGCGACGTACGAAGAACGAGCTCCAGGTCTGTCATTGATGTTGTTTATCGTGCTGTACCCTGCCCTGTCGTTTTGTGGAATAAAACCCCTATTTCTGACTTCACGGCTTCGCTGCCTTCCTGCCCGCCGTGCGATCATAACAGTTTGATATGGAAAAATGATCATAAAATATTTTGCGATATCGCCCAGCCCTATACACATACACACACACTCTACTACTACTACTAATTAGAACTAGCAGCCCTTATACCTATTTAACGTTAGCAAATTAGCTAATGTTAATTATAATTAGGTAAAAGCTAAATTACATAGCAAAGCTTAACTTCACTTCTAATTTAGCACAATAAAATGTATAGTGCAGCACAAACAACATTAACATGTACACTTTGTTAATCTTGTTGTCGGATCCAGTAAAAATTAGTTAGTGGGTAGTGAATGTCGATCCAGTCCCGCTGTTAATTAAAAATGTCCGTGCCATTGACCTGTCAGTCAAAAACTTATTAGCCAATGGGGACGCGTCCCTGAAAAAACCCGCCCACGCGAGAAGTTTGTGTCAGAATTGTAAGCAAAAAGTCAGGGAGTGCAAGCGAGGAAGCTGGCAGCGTAACAAAGGAAAACATTATCAAAAGACCAATCGTGTTTGCAAGTTATAAATTTTACTTTTGAGATGACATTTCTTTTGCTTCAGTTAGTTTTTTTTTCTTCTCGAAGCCTTGTTTTTGCTTGATGTCAAAAAAGTTTTGCTTGATAATATTGGCACAAATCTGATTCCATATCTGCGAGGGCCTATTGCATCGCAGTCTATGGAGAAACGTTGTCTCATCCCATTATGTACGTGTACCCTGCTGCTGATAAAGTACCTTGAACCTTGGCTGTTTTAAAGCAGTTAACAGCTTTTAAATGTATCTTTGATAGAAATCTATAACAATTTTTGAGAAATACATTCCCGAGTTTCTGACCTTGTTCACGATGAATAACTAGGTGGCGCTGACATTTCAGTCTGACGAGCTGAAGCGACACGAAACGAGCCGAGCCGATGGCAACCGACAGAAATCGATCTGAACCGACTGCAAGCGAATTGAGTCGACAACGCGGTATGCCATTGAGAAAAAAGCAATCCGGAAAAAAGCAAAGATCTGTCACAGCTTTCTTTTAAATAGCAAGAAATGTAAGTAGACAAAAAAAATCTATACAGGTTTAACCTATACCAATTAAGCCGACGATAACGATTTCATCTAAGTTTGATCTAACGTGTCTGTCAATAAATCTATGATTGTGTTTTTACGTAATGTGTAACATTACAGTATACTGGAGTTCACTAAATTTAAACTTGCAACACATTATAGAGAAGGCTATCTGTTGTTTATGTTATTGGCCATTTGTGGGTGATTGGCCACTCCATACCAGTCAACAAAATAACGTTGTATGTATGTTGGCCAGTGTCTGTCAAAATATTTAGCATGACTACTAGTTAAGCTCAAAAGTTGGAACCAAACCAGCAAACAGAATGCGCAAGTCACAAATGCTCACTGTTTGGTTCCCCCCCTTCAAAAATATCTGTTGTGCCCCTGCCATTGGAAAATGGTGAAGGAACAGCCAATGCACAGGCATTGTTTTCTGTTTTATAACACCCTGCAGTTTACAGAAGCCAAAGGTTACTCGGTGGATAAAGGGCATTTCCTGCCATTTTCTGGCCAAGTTAAGCAGGCTGGGCTCACGGTCCCGTAAGTAGTTTTCATTATCGGGAAATATCAAAGGCATTTAAACTTTATCATTCATTTACATATTTAAGCCAGTCCATACTTAATGAAGCATGCATGAAATCATAGCAGTAATAGCTATACGTGTTGATTTAATTTAACAAATCACATTAAATATAAAAACTTTCAGTAAAATGTTAGTTTTGAGTTTTAAAAGTTGTTTTCTGCTGACAGTCTTTTAGTTATATCTCTACAAGAAAGTGCTATAAACATTATTCAGGATTACCACTCTTATAGCTGATCTGGGATGACTTCAGTGTTTATTCACGTTAAATTGAAGTCTATTCTTTCCCAATGCAGGTTGTGTAACATGTCTGCTTCTGCCAGGGTGATAGTCATTGGGGCAGGGTTAGCCGGTTTGGCTGCTGCAGCCACGTTGTGTAAGGCCGGCTTTCAGCACGTGCTCATCCTTGAAGCCACGGAAAAGCCGGGGGGTCGCATTGACACCACCCGACCCTTTGGTTCTGACATAATCGAGCTGGGGGCAAACTGGATCCATGGGCGGAAAGGCAACCCACTGTACACCCTGGCAAGGGAGCATGGCCTTCTTCATGAGGTGGCTGGTGCCAGCACCATGTGCCTGCCCAACTCTGTCACCCCTGATGATTACTTCTTCAGGGAGGACGGGCAGAGGTTGCACCCCAGTGACGTGGAGCAGGTATGTGCCCTCTTTGGTAGGCTGACTGCCAGGGCCTTCAATGGCGAGCTGGAGGGCAGATACCTGTCTGGGAGCCTGGGTCATTACCTGGATGAGGCGTTTGCTGAGGTATTCCCAGACCTGACCCAGGAGACCAGGGAGGTCTTCGAGTGGTGCAAGAGGAGTGAGTGTACAGATGAGGCCAGCTCCTCCCTCTATGAGGTGTCTGCCTCCCAGATAAGCCATTACGTTGCCCTGGAGGGGGGTTTCTTCAACACTCTTGGAACCAGCGGCTACCAGGCTCTGCTGGATGTCCTGCTGAAGTGCTTCCCCCAGGGGGCGTTGGTTTGCAACAAGCCAGTGCAGCATGTCCGGTGGACCATGGACAGCGCTGGCCAGCATGGCAAGGAATCCCAACCTGTAAAGTTGGTTTGTGAGGACGGCCAGGAATACGAAGCGGACCACGTGATCATGACTGCGTCACTGGGCTTCCTCCAGGAGAGGGCGGCGGACATGTTTGAGCCTGCCCTGCCCAACTCGAAGGCCGGCGCCATAGAGAAGCTGGGCTTTGGCACTGTGGACAAGATCTTCCTGAAGTTTGATGAGCGCTTCTGGCCAGACGATTGTGCCGGGATACAGTTGGTGTGGAAGCACGGCCCCGAGGAACCCAGGTGTCAGGAGGGGCTGACACAGGAGGGCGATCCATTCAAGACTTGGTACAAGAAGATCTGTGGCTTTGATGTGGTGGCCCGCCACCCTACAGTGTTGTGTGGCTGGATCACGGGGCAGGAGGCTGAGCACATGGAGACTCTGGGTGACGAGGAGGTTGGGGACATCTGTGTGAGGTACATGTGAGACCTGGGGTCCCACACATCAGGGGTGGTGAACTGGCAGGCAGGAGGCTCTTAGCCATACACTACCGTTCAAAAGTTTGAACAATTTTGTGTTTTCCATGAAAAGTCACAGTTTTATTTACCACATGAGTTGGAAAATGAATAGAAAATATAGTAAAGACATTGACAAGGTTAGAGATAATGATATTTATTTGAAATAATAATTGTTTCCTTCAAACTTTGCTTTCGTCAAAGAATCCTCCATTTGCAGCAATTACAGCATTGCAGACCTTTGGCATTCTAGCTGTTAATTTGCTGAGGTAATCTGGAGAAATTTCACCCCACACTTCTAGAAGCCCCTCCCACAAGTTGATTTGGCTGGATGTGCACTTCTTGCGTACCATACGGTCAAGCTGCTCCCACAACAGCTCAATGGGGTTTAGATCTTGTGACTGCGCTGGCCACTCCATTACAGATAGAATACCAGCTGCCTGCTTCTTCTCTAAATAGTTCTTGCACAATTTGGAGGTGTGCTTTGGGTCATTGTCCTGTTGTAGGATGAAATTGGCTCCAATCAAGGGCTGTCCACAGGGTATGGCATGGCGTTGCAAAATGGAGTGATAGCCTTCTTTATTCAAAGCCCCTTTTACCCTAAACAAATCTCCCACCTTACCAGCACCAAAGCAACCCCAGACCATCACGTTACCCCCCACCGTGCTTGACAGATGGCGTCAGGCACTCTTCCAGCATCTTTTCAGTTGTTCTATGTCTCACAAATGTTCTGTGTGATCCAAACACCTAAAACTTCGAATCGTCCGTCCATAACACTTTTTTCCAATCTTCCTCTGCCCAATGTCTGTGTTCTTTTGCCCATATTAATCTTTTACGTTTATTGGCCAGTCTCAGATATGGCTTTTTCTTTGCCACTCTGCCCTGAAGGCCAGCACCCCGGAGGTGCCTCTTCACTGTAGATGTTGACACTGGCATTTTGCGGGTACTATTTAATGAAGCTGCCAGTTGAGGACCTGTGAGGCGTTTATTTCTCAAACTAGAGACTCTAATGTACTTATCTTCTTGCTCAGTTGTGCAGCGGGGCCTCCCACTTCTCTTTCTACTCTGGTTAGAACCTGTTTGTGCTGTTCTCTGAAGGGAGTAGTACACACCATTGTAGGAAATCTTCAGTTTCTTGGCAATTTCTCGCATGGAATAGCCTTCATTTCTAAGAACAAGAATACACTGTTGAGTTTCACATGACAGTTCTCTTTTTCTGGCCATTTTGAGCATTTTATCAACCCCACAAATGTGATGCTCCAGATACTCAACCTGCTCAAAGGAAGGTCAGTTTTATAGCTTCTCTAACTGGCTAAACTGTTTTCAGCTGTGCTAATGATTGCACAAGGGTTTTCTAACCATCCATTAGCCTTCTGATGATTACAATGAGCAAATGAGCAAACACACTGTACCATTAGAACACTGGAGTGATAGTTGCTGGAAATGGGCCTCTATACACCTATGTAGATATTGCACCAAACACCACACATTTGCAGCTAGAATAGTCATTTACCACGTTAACAATGTATAGTGTGTATTTCTGATTAGTTTAAAGTTATCTTCATTGAAAAAAACTGTGTTTTTCTTTCAAAAATAAGGACATTTCGAAGTGACCCCAAACTTTTGAATGGTAGTGTAGCTGGGGGCTGCTTCACGTGGGAATAAATGAATACTCACACCATGAATGACTCACACTAACTAGCAACACACCTCAAATATGTTCATGGTTCTCTAATGGATTGCAACATGCAAAACCAAAACATAACATGACACTGCTGGAATAGCAGCTGCAGGCCACAGTAGGATGTGTAGTCAGGAGACCGTAGTGTTTATTGGTTTTTATGGCCGTCACCAACTGCTTTGCCTGTATGGCATATTCCAAAGTTTCCTTGTTTCAAAATGTTGATAAGAGACTCAGTTGATTGCCTCTTAGCTCATATTAGACCTGGAATTCGGTTTATTAGAGAACCAAGTTGGTTTTTCAGCCTGCCCCTAAGCAAACTTGAGCATTAATTTATTAGCCTAATTAAGCATGCCTACCAGTGATGCCTGCATGTGTATGAAGTTCTGTAAGTCTGATAATGTTTGCACAGCTTGCTCAGGACCTTCACCTCTTGGCCAGTACCCAAGCCGAGCCGGGTCCTCCTGTCTAGGTGGCGGTGCCACCCCTTTGTGCGGGGCTCCTATACTTACGTGCCATGCGGTGTGGATGCTGTTCATGAACACCAGGCCTTGGCAGAACCACTGCCCCTAAACCCCGTCCATGCAGAAGTGAAGGTACAGACCGCCCACTGCTCTACCCACAATGCCCTGGAGCCCCATCATGTCATTTGAGCTCTGGGAAACACACTTAATTCACATTGGGTGTTTCTTTCTTTTACTCCCCCCCCAGCCACTCCAGGTTCTGTTTGCGGGTGAAGCCACTCACATAAACTTTTACACCACCACCCACGGTGCCTACATCACTGGTGTGAGGGAGGCTCAGAGACTCATCGATCATTATGCAACACAGTGACCTGTCGTATAAGACAAGGTGGAGGACAGTTACTGCATGCGATCTTTGATGTCTGTTGGATTCAATTACACTTTTCCTTCAAAAGGAGCTTCACAGCTCCACATGGTATACCACCTTCAGATGTTCCATGTGTTCTTTTTAATTTCCACCAGGATGTGCAATTTTGATTGGCCACTTGGGGAGGGCCTAGTTAGCAGGCCACATGACCTCAGAGTGTCCATCCATGGCATGGGGTTAGGCCCAAAATTACAGCTAATTGCTGATTAAAGCTGAGTGCCGACTAGTGGTATGTACACTTACACAAATACATTGGCTTATTAAATAAATTTATCAATTATTTTCTGAATCTCATGTACTCTGTGTAATTTAATATGGATTAATTTAGCATTTTCCCAAAAATAAACATTGATTTAAAAAAATGGTTTCTTGTAAGATGAAAGGCAGTGAAAATTACTTTTCAGTCTTGAATGTATAGACCAGGGGTGGCCAATCTTATCCGCAAAGGGCCGGTGTGTATGTAGGTTTTTGGGATAACCTGTACAGTAGGTCAACTGTTCAAACCCAGGTGTGATGACTCTTCAGCCAATCGGTCCTCTAATTAGTAATCTAATTAGGTAGTTGCAGTGAAAAACCGCATACACACAGGCCATTTGCGAGTAAGATTGGCCACCCCTGGTATAGATTTTAACATAACCTGGGGCCTGTACTACGAAGCGGGGTAACTGGCTTATCGGGGTAACTTTGTGAGTAATTGGATGACGTGTGGTGTAACTTCGCGATTAACCCGTACTACGAAAGGTGGGTAGGTTTTAGCCGAGACATGTTGCTATGGCAATTTACGCTAAATCTCAAAACTGCTCCGAGCAGTTTTTGTTCTTGGTTAAGTCGAGGTTTCCGCGTAAGCCAGCCCTATATGAGCACCGCCCCTCCCACTACAATTTCTCCGAAGACAATGCTGGCGTACCTGGATGATCCGTACGACATTGACGCGCAAATTGTGAGGGGCTCTCTCTGTTAATATGTATGAAATGGAGCATGGCATATAATATGCATAAAATGTATTAATTAATAACTGTTACAGAGAATGTTATTCTGAAAACCCAAGGGGTGTGCATTGTTCCCTGTTGTCCACTGATCAAAGCACACTTCATTAGATGTGCCTGTCTTGTCTAGTTTTCAAGTTAGTAACCCATTCATGTATTGTCGACTGCACAGTATTATGAGTATATGGATACATTCGAACATTCAAAAATTAATTAAAATTCGTATGTAAAGCAATCTGGGAAACAAAGGGGTGTGGAACAGTCGCCATGAGCCCAAAATACTAAACCATCATGTCACAGGCTGAAAGGACCTATTATATTAGCTATTAATAGCTATTAACATGATTTGACACAAATCACTAAATGTTTTGAAGCGGAAAAATAATCGGTGTGCATCGATGTGTGGACATTTCAGGTCCAGAA